TCCAACAGCGAAAATCTACCATCTGTGTCCCAGAAACCATTCAGAGTATTGCGTTTCCCCCCCCACAGTCACTTCCATTTTGGTCCAGATTTTCATCTTCTGCCTTCAAGGTGCGGGTCCCACCAGAAATCTCCCTTTGCCATTCCCAGATCTGTTTCCCATGCACCTGGCTGAAATTGGGAAGCCAAGAACAGCCTCACGTTGGGAGTGGCCTGCTCTCCGCAAGCACTGGAGCTGCTGTCACCTGTTCCCATGGGCTCCGCTGGGAGCGAATGGTTAACGACAAGCCATAAACTGTGATAATTCAGGAAGGCGATGGGTCCTGCCTTCCGTCCATCCGTGGCCATGATTTCCCGTGCATTTCCTCGCAGTCAGAGCGTGAGCGGCTGTGTCCAGGGCAATCCGATGCACTGTAACAGCCAGGCCCAGCAGGGGGTGATGCAGGGTTCTTCTGGTCTCTGCCACCCCCATCCTTTAGTCTTGCTCCACATTTGCATCACAGATGGTAGATTTTCACCCTGATTTTGAGACAAAAGGGTGTATTAGAGGCTGTTTTTATTTCCACTGAATCTCTCTATAACCCTCTGCTGCTTTCTCTGTCTCTCGCTCTCTTTAAAACCTGCCCGTCCGCTCCTATGTGGAGATAGTCCCAGTAAACACTCCTCCCACCTCTTTCTTTCTCACCCGCGCTCTCTGATCTTTGTCCTGACAGCTAACCAACCTGCTTTATTAACCTTAGCTAGTTCCTAACCCTAACTAGATGCTAACATTCCTCCAGCAAACTTTCTAACCTTTTAACTAGAAGTTGAGTCTAACTAGAATCTAATAGCCTAACAATGTAACACTTCTCTTCCCTTAACCCCTTTGGAAATAATTCAAATAAAGGTTAACTGTAACCAGTGGTACATATTTCTTTTTACCTTCTATCCTGAAAATGGTGCACTGACGTGCAAAGAAAGGAGGATGAGCAGGGCTGAAGGATAAGGAGGAAAGGATGGCCTTATAGTTAAGGCAAAGGATTGGCAAGCAGATGTCCTGCTTTCTGCTCTTGCTTTTGCTTCAAGATTCTCTCTGTGACCTTGACCAAGTCACTTCACCCTCGGTGCCTCTATTTCCCCATTGTAAAGTGGGGATAAACTATGCTCCCAGGGGGGAATGAGAGGCTGATATTTGTCCAGCACTGTGAGATCCTTGGATGGAAGGTGCTGTTGAATGTCAGTATTATTACCACCGAGCAGCTGTTATGCTTCTATATGATATTGGATTGGGGACTTGCCAAGTCTGCCCTGTTTTCAGGATTGGGGTAAAAACATTTCTTGAATGAGTTGTGCAGCAAATCTGAATGCCTGTGGGGAAAAGGACCCTCCGTATTTTCAAAGGAAGGTGGTTTCCAAGCTCTTGTGACCTCAGGAGTGTGACAGGAAATCAGAGGCAGGGGCAGTGATGTCATTGAACAAAAGTGCTGTGGCATCACTTGCCAGCCATGATGTCATTCCCTTTTGCCCGCGAGATGTCACGTGCGTGGGCAGAAAGCTTATGATGGGCACTGCCAGTGGAGGCAGCTGGAGGGGGTTTGGCTGAAGGGAGCCCTGGAGTGTGGGAGATGGCCAACCACAACAAGGCTCTTCCTCCTTTCCCAGAATTCAGGGATTCCCGAGATTTAATTAATCCCCTCTACAGTTTATTAGGGTGGCTTCCAGAGCAGCTGCACCAGGCAATCCCCTTTGCATGTTTCCCAGGTACAAAGACAGCAGCATGCCCTTGTATCGCACCTGCAGCTCTTTCCTAGCATCTGGCTGCATCCAGTAATGTTCTGCAGAGCCAGTCGCTCTCAGGATAACTAGGGACCACAGGCCCCAGGGCGTTATATGAAACCCTGTGCCCCAAATGCATCACTAACATGGGTGTGGAATTGGGAACCAGGTACTCTTGGGATCTAGCCTCAGCTTTGTCGTGTGACTTTGAGCAAGGTTCTGGGTCTCCATTTCCCTGCCTGGGGGAACAGGTTAATAATGCTGATCACACTCCCCATGGGCTGGGAGGATAGAAGCAGGTTTGCCCAGTGCTATGCAAGGGGTACATATTAATACTAGTTTACGTGGACTGAGGGTTCAGAGACTCCCTTTCCTTTGTGACCGATGGAGGGAGTGTTGATTTGGCCAGCCTCCTCCTTTTCAAGTTTAGTGTCATGATTAAGCATCCCACAGTCTGAACCGGAGTGTGCTGCCTGGAGTCCTTTTCCCCCAACCCCCTCCAGTCTGTCCGTGTCATTAAAGATGAAGCCAGGTAGTGTAGGAGTTTTCCTGCCAGGAATGATCTTCCTTGAGCTGGGTCCTTTTCCCACCGGCAGTCCAAGCGTTTTTGGGTTTTTCACTCCTTTCACTTCTTTCCTTTGCTTCCCTTGCAGAAGGTACTCCAATCCGAGGTAAGAGACCCCCCCCTGCTCCACTCACTCAGTCACTCACCCACCTGCTCCTCACCAAACAATTTCTCTCCAACTCAGTTCCTGTTTCATGTGATCTCTGCTCAACCCAAAGTCTCGTTGTTGTTTGTTGTGGTTTCTGCTCCTGCCTCACCTTTGGATATTTATTTCTGTTTGTGTCCGTCTTTATTTTAAATACTGTTCCAACGTCTCTTTCTGTTTGCTGGGTGAACTTGGTGAAACCTTTTATTATTCTAAAACAAGGCTCAGGCACTGTTGTCTGAAATTTATGGTGGAGATTTAAGAGCTAATCTCTCCAGGGCTGTGAAGGACCCAGGTGTATCTCTGGCATTAAGCACTGTCAGAGCTTGGTAACCACTCAGGGGCCTCATCATGATTGGTACTGAGTGCCCTGGAGCCCTTGAGCCCATGCTCAGTCCCAACCCTCTAAAGAGCCTTCTTTCTTTCTCTAACCTCAGGTGCTTCTTGGTAAGTAACTTTCGTACCCAGCCTAGGTCGCTGGGTCTTTCACCTGAAGGGAGTGAGACCCTCTGCTACCATTGGAAGTGAATGGGATTTGGATGCATGACTCCCATTGGCCCCTTTGAACATCCCAGCTGTAACGTCTAGGCTCTTCTCACTCGGGGAGCCTCTGCACGGGCAAAATACAAGCTCAGAATTCTCTACTACCGATAGCAATGGCAGAGGATGCAGGCATGTCTTACCACCATGTCTACACCTGCTCTCAGCAGGTAGTGATCACACACCAACCTGTCTACAATACAGCTTCCCTCATTGCTATCACCGGCAAAGCCGCCCTCGAGGAAAATGAAGTGGTCCTGATTTCCTTAGTGTAGACAAGACCCTGGCGTGCTTTCCCACCTGCAGCCACGTCATTCTGTTCCCGCCCCTGAGTTCGGTTTAAAATCTCCCCTGGCACTCGCCATTCAGACGAGCACTACTGTGAGCTAAATAAAACCTTGGCTGGGATTAGGGAAGCCAACCCCCATAAACCAAAGGTTCACAGAGCCCCCACCTGACACAGCCTCCTCCCAGCTGAAGCTTTCAGACAACGGAGAGTGCTGTGGCTTCAATCCTGTAAGAAATCTGCTCAGCTGGAAGTCTCAGTGGGAAGGTACCGATCTGCTTGAGTTCAGGGGCCATTTGGTTTTCAAGTCACTCTGCTGGATTGAAATGTCCGTGGGTTCTTTTGTTGAGAATTTGGCTTTGTTTATTTTATTTTTTTTTAAATTCTATCCAGTCTGCACTTGGGATCTGCCATCCACAAGAGTAACACACTCACTCCTTCACCCTCTCTCTTTTACTCAGACTAACACCCTCCTGTTTTCACACACAACACTCTTCTCCCCCGCCCCGCAATGAATCTGAATCTGCAGTCAGCAGTGGTACCGTTTGCACCCCTCTCCCTTAGGGTCTGTCAGTACTTTTCTACCAAACTGCAATTTTTCATGCAGTCAAGGAATCTTAAGGGCTCTGATCTCCACCCTTGTCATGTGCACATACATATATATAATATAAGAAACATTTGATATCATGTTGGTTTATTTTATAGGATATATACTTTAACTGGAGTTTGGCAGACCTGATGCTTTCTAGGGTAAAAAACAGAGGTGATTTTCATCTATGTAGTTATGTGCTGCATATTTGTGCAGGTCTCTTTTAAACTAGTTGACGGTGGGAGTGTTTAGTCTGGACTTGGCTATATTTTCATCAACTGAAATAGTGTACAGGTATAGAAGAAGCCCTGATTCTCATTGGGCTGGTCAGGCGTACTGGCCATTCAGATTGGATAGAAACCCACGTGCAGTTTAGAAAATTGCAGTTTGTTTTTTACGCTGTTTTCCCTTTAGCACATGCACTGGTGGATAACACACTTTTCAAGCATTCTCTCTGCTCCTGTGAGTGTGGTGTTTATGCACACAACAAATCCAGCGGTGACAGGGATGGCTCAGGGGGCTGGTAGTGGGTTACAGAGCCTTTCCCCTCAAAGGCTGGTTCCATTCCAACCCACATAAATCAGTAGATCACTAGATCAGTAGCGACAGGAAGTCGTTGCCACCAATGGCTGTTCGGTGGCCCGTGCGAGTTGAGTTGTTGGTATTCGTTCCTAGAGGAAAATGTCCACATTGCAGAAGCCACCCGAGTTGGTGTTTTTTGCTGTTCTTCTCCGCTCAGAAGGCAAGACCTGTATGCTGAGCTGTCCTGTCCCTGTTAGAAGTGAACCCCCAGGTCAGGGTTGACGCAGACCGGTAGGACAGCATGGGGCAGCTCGTACGGCTTCTACCCACATTGTAGATCAGGATTGTAGGGGTTGGGTTGGGCGACTAGTCCCGCAGTGGCAATGATCATTCTGATCCAGGTTTGCTGTCAACAATGCCCAAGGAGAGAAGTTCTAGCATGGGAGCAAAAAGCCCCACACCCCGGGCCACCGTTCAGATCTGCGTTGACTCTGGGGGAAAACGGCGGGGGAGGGCGTTGGTGCCAGGCATGCTCTTAAAAAAAAAAAAAATAATAATAACAACAATTTCTTTGCTGCCGTCTTCTTCTCTCCTGCCAGGTGGTCTGCAGATTGAGAGCAGTGAAGAGACTGATCAGGGGAAGTATGAATGTGTGGCCAGCAACAGCGCCGGGGTGCGCTACTCTTCACCCGCTAACCTTTACGTGAGAGGTAGGGAGCGCCTCGGCTCAGAACGCTGGCAAATCACGGGCTCCCTCTGCCCCTGCTGTTTGATTTGTTTCCTTCACGGAGCCAGGGGGAGGTCTTGCAGTTGAAACAGATCACCATGGGGGTGGAAAAGAGGATCCGAGGGCACCTCTGGGAATGAGTGGTGGAGTCCCTTCTCCATTGCTGCCTGGATCCCTCTGGAGAGGGTACCTGACTCAAAGGAAGGGACAGCTGGAGTGTGGCACCCTTAAGCATCACCTCAGTCCCCCCCCAGGGGCCACCTCCTGCCCCTGGAATGTTTTTTCTGCTGCAGACTGAGCAGGGGCACAGAGCCTGTTGGCCCTCGTGGGGATCATTATTTATCATACCTGTTGCAGCGGCCCCCGAAAGGTGCAGCCCTGTCCTGGACCGCACGCAGCAGCAATATAGAGGCCTGACCCCCATTGTGAGGTCAGGGGGTCCCATCTCGCGGAGGGGAGCTCACGGTCTCTGCCGCAGAGAGGCTGTGGCCACTTGTGGGGTTACCACCTTTCCCATGGAAGTTGCAGGAATTGGTAAGGTCTGCTCAGCTGGTGTGAGCTTTAGAGGAGGTGGGGCATGTTCAGCTCCCTCGGGTGAGCCCACCCACCCGAGTCTCATCAAAATGGAGCATCGGGATGGGGGACAATCGGGTGTCTGAAGCAGCAGGCGAATCTCACCTTGCCTGGTGAGGGCCGGGGAGGGGTGACTGCTCTTGCAGGGCAGTGGAAGGGGATTTCAGCTAGCCCAGTCCCTCTAGGGGCATTGCTCTTCGGCTGACCTGGCGTGGAGTGGTGTGGGCTGGCATACTCTGAAGCTTTCCCAACATGGGACTGAGACCGCACTGGACTGCAGGTTCTCGCTCCTCGCTCATGTTCCAGCAGGCTTTTCCTTCCCGAACTCCCTGACCACAGGTCTTTCTAGCCCTGGTTCCCTCTGGAGACGCCACGGGTCTGGGTATACGTGCATGGTGAGAAGCAGGCTACACTAGCACACTCCTGGGATAACCAGTCGGAAGTCCCCTTACCCACACAGCTGGTGGGGGGACAGATGAAATAGGGATATTGAATTCCTCCTCTGCTTTTTAGCACTTGCTGGCTCAGTGACCCCCTGCATTTTCTTTGTCGTTCACCTTTTTTAAGTTCTCGGACGGGTCATATTTTCCTACAGACTAATATTTTTCCACAGCAAAACCCTCTGATTACGAGAGAGCAAGGGCCAGCCCCTCTCACTGTAAAACCGCCATTCAAAGAACGTTGCATCCCAGCCAGCCGTTGCCATGTCCATCCCATTTGGCCAAGGAAGCGTTCCCCTCACCCGCATTGACGCTGCAGTTAGACGTAGGCCCATGCTCTTGTGTGCACGCCTCTCTCTGTGTCTCATGCTCACTGAATCACATGCACATGGAGAGAAGGCTTTTAATTATTTAAAAGCTACGTTTTTAAAGAGCCTTTTGTGACCAGCTGGAAAATCGCTTCTGAAATTTGCCTTGTCATTTGGGCTCTGAAAATCCACGGGTGGGAACATCATAAATCCAGGATCTGACACCACACAAGGGCTAAATGAATTGCAAGCAGCTTTTAGCTGGAATGGGCTTTTAAAAAAATGTGTTGGGGGCTTTTTTTTTTTTTTTTAATGTTGTTTTTAAATCTCCCTGGCCTTTCTGGTCAGTTGAAAATTGGCCAAAGGTTCTCGTTGCCCAGAGCTTCTTGTCTTAGCCCCTGGATGAGTCCCAGCTCCAGGTGGATGGCCCTCTATACCAACTTAGCCTGCGTGTGCACCTGAAACCTCTGTGATCCAGCGTTAGCTGCTGGCTGAGAAGATGTAGAGAATACCATGGAGGCTAGCCCGTGCTGTGTTTGGGGTGCTTTTCATGCTAATTCCTTGTTTCTTGTGTGTCAATTTCGCTGAAAGGTAACCGAAGTTCTGAAATGCAGTCATTTGGGGAGGAAGTGAAGGGGGAAGTTCTCACACACATTTTTTCTTCCGTTTTTGTTTTTAAAGAGTCTTGAACATGCTTGTGTTTCCAATTGACTTGTTTCTCCCATAACATGCTTGTCTCTATAGAATACCTGGGATAGGTGTTGTAAGTTTTAACCTTGCAAGCAAATGTCTTTTCTTTTCTTCTTTTTATTTATTTATTTGTTTTTAAAGTAAATCTTATTTTGGAGTTAGCGCGAGCGCAGCTGGGTGTGGGGGGGAGGTGGGTCGGGAGCCGAGGTTTTCAATTAGGGGATCTTCTTTGCTCCAGGTCCACTCTGCCTGGAATAATCTCTATCCCCTCTCCTTCTGTAAAACATCAGACGAGCTTGTGAAGGTGAGAATTCCCTACTGGGGCTCTGCCCCTCTGTTGGGTGCTAATTCTGAATTTGGATTGTTCCCACCCTGACCTCGTCACAGAGCTTGGATGCTCTTAAACACAAGCACGGGAGGGGGGAAAGGAAGGAAGGAAAGGAGAAAATAAAAAGGGTCGTTACTATCTTCTTTCTTTTTTTTTTTCTTTTTTTTTTTTTTTTTTTTTTGGTTAAAAGAGAAAAGAAAACAAATCAATTTGCAGCTGACAGCCTTGAGAAGGCCTTTTTTTACTCTCTCTGTGTTTCCCCTATTTTTCTCTTCTCCTCATGTCATTGTGTTCCGCATCAAACCCCCTTAACATCCCTCAGAGCTACGAGAAGGTTGGTGTGGTTTTTTTCTTTTTTACTTTCTTTACCCACATTTTTACATTCTTAAGAAAAAAAAAAAATAACGAAATAAAAAATAAATAAATAAAAAAGAGAAAAAGCAAGAAATCTTTAAGATGAGCGAGACCCGCCCGTTCCCGGGTCTCGCAGAGATGAGTTGAGTTGCATTGTGGGCCTCTCTATGCATCCTTTGGTAATGTTGCTGAGTTCTTGCACTTTTTTGTCGTCATGGTTACCTTGCCGTTTGGACATTGGGCCTGATGCATGATAGGAGAATGTAACGATCTTCTTTGCATGCCACTCTTTTAAATTAATTATTACTATTATTTTTCCTATATATTATATATATATATAATTTATTTTTAAATTCTGATTTATTTGAAGTGGATTTATTCTTTTCTTATTGTTTCCTTTTGGGTTTTTTGCTTTCTCTTGGTTTCTTCTTTCGGTTTGGATTGGTTATGCTGTGCTGTAGTTTATTCCAAACGCATTGTGAGAAGCCAGTGTTCCTGCCCCCAATGATAACTGAACCCCCCCCCAGACCCTCGAAATAGAAAGGAGTCACACAGCTCTAACACCTGTCCGTGGAAGTGCTGCTATTCAGGACAAGCCTTGTTTCGGGGAGGGAGAGAGACTGGGGGTTGGAAATCCTGGGTGCTTTTAACAAGGGATCAGACCATTACCCCAATTCACCAGCAAACCTTGGAATAGTATCTGGGGTGTGTGGCACTTGACACGTCCTGTACCCAAACTAAGACCTGCTCCCTGCTCCAAGGAGTCGGCCCTCACATACGCGGAGCAGCCAGTCTGCTTGCAGGCCAGGATGGGGAGAGATGAGGAGCTCTCTCTTGTTCTACTGAATGCAACCCAGTGATCCCCACCCTCCTGCCTCCTTTGACACACACATGCACGCACAGGCCCCAGTTACCAGGCACTGGATCTTCTCATCACCAGCCTACAGCAAGTCTGCTCTAAAAAGAGGCCACTTGTCAAGATCCCTGCTGTTCCAAAACCCACTGTGCACCTTCTACCTGCGGCCAGCTGGAGGCTGGCCGGGTCTCGGGCCTATACCTCTTTCCATACCCCCCCCGCTCACACACACACACACTCCCAACCCCGGCTTGTTTAACCAGCTGCTGCCTGGGCACAGATGCACGTCAGCAAAGCCAACTCCAGAAACCCTCCTTTCTGAAGGGATGTGGGTAGAGATGAAAGCACAGCTCAGGAGAAGCTGCCTTGATGCTTCTGGCAGCTGAATCCTTGTGGTGAATTTTGTTTGGCTTCGGGGATTCTCTCCCGCACGCCCCTTTTAGTCCCATCCACTCCCACATTGTCTCTTCCTCTCTCACACATGCTCTCACACTCCGCGGGAGTGACTCCCCAGGCAGGAGCGGGCCGGTGGATTTTTACACGGCACTAATCAACTTCTGGTTTTGCCTTTGGAAAATGGACTGTCCTTCCCTCCCCGGTGTGTAGCTTTTACCCCCTGCCAACCAGGCCTCCTTACGCAACACAGGACCAGACAGGTGGCTTTCCCAGCGTACAGGTATTAAAGCTGTGTGATTTTTGAGAAATCCAGTGCAGTATTGACACAGTATCTCTGTCTCCCTCTTTCTCTCTCTCTTTCTTTCTCACTGTCTGTCTTTCTCTTTCTCTTAAGATGCTGAGATTTCAGTGCTTGGACCCTCAGTGCTGGTATTTCCCCCTCCCCTCCAAATCTCCCCCTTTCCCCTGGTTGTAAGGTACAAGGGTACCACTCAGAAATGCTGCATTATTGACAGTGTCTTTCGGACGTGGCCAATAGTGGCTCTTCTGACTCCATCTCCAACAAGACAAAAAACCCTCTATAAAAACATCTATTTAAAAACAGCAGAGTGGGTAGAGTCTGAAATGAGATTTCCCCAGGACCAATGGTCCCAGTTACAATTGCCACTGATTCCAGGACTTGCCTTCATGAATAGGAGTTTGAGTTTAAAGATTCAGGTAGACTAAAAAGGGATTTATACACTTCTTTTGAAAAAGGTTTTGGTCTTAATAAACATTTCGAATGTGTCCGAATTGCCCTGACAAGGGTAGAATCGCCCCTCTGCTCTTCAGTGCAGTGGATTCTGTAGATGCGTGGTGATCTGGGAAGCTCCTAGGTTTAAATCCAGGGTTTTTTAAAGTTGCAATAATAAGTATAAAATAAAACTAAACAAGACGCAGTGGAATGGCACACAACAAGTCAGTCGAGATCGGATGCTTATTAAATGAGATGCTGTCGCTCAAACGGAAGTTCTGGATGTGGGGCAGAGAGCAGGAGGG